GAGCGTCTTCCCCAATCTTCGCATTGCTATTCATCGCCAGCTGTAAGAGATCATTCAGCAAGTTAAAATTAATACTTTTGTATTTGAGAATTTCCATGGGTCAAGGCAGACTCTGTGATCTTGCTCTGCTCGGTGTAGAAAGAGGAGAAACTGAAAAACTGACTTTGAGCACATCATAGACCAATTTGCATCAGTGAAAGCAAGGAAGGTGCAATTGTAATTTTCATGTAGTGCCATAATTTGTTAATTAAAAGATTAACGAACTTGGCTTGTATTTTTGAGCTGATATTATGGTAAGGTTATCTAAATAATGGGTTTCAGATTTTTGGACAGGGGTGCAATTTCAGCGCTTGCCATAGGCGCTATTTTCCGTAGATACGCCCCTGTGTGAATGTAGGTGGAAGCGGTGGCTTTACTTACGACTTGATATGTCCATCAGTGCAAAATGGTAATCATGCAAGCTTACGACGCTGAAAATCTGGTTTCGATACCGTGATGGTCAGATCTCAGATTCTCCATTGTGTAGCTTTGTGTTTAACAGCAACGAAACCAAACCGTCTTAATATTACGTAAGTTTAAGGAAATCTTAATATTGTAAATATGATAAAACCGCTCATAGTTCGCTTTATATATTGTCCTTCTGATGCACAATGCATGGCAAAATTATCTTGTTTTATTGTTCTTAAATTTTAGATAGCTTTTGTGGTTGCATTACTAATGGTAAATATGCTGTTTTTCAACTTTTTTCCTGATTTTCTTTGATACATTCGTTACTGCATATCATTTGTATTTTCGCGTTATTTTTTTACAAAATATAATTTTGCCGAAACAAAAGGACAAGGTTTAAAGTTTAATTACTTGTTCTAATGGGGTTCTTTTCGACATTCAGTGATTTTGCTTTGGTATTAGAATTCTTATCAATTAACAGATATCCAAAAATTAGAAAATGTTTTTGTTTTCTATGTCAGTGATGATTTATTGATTTTTGTGTCTAATTTGCTATCGAGCCTTAAGTTTAGCCCGTTTAGCTTTTCTTAGTCATACGGCCATAATACAAATATGTTGTTAATGTACTTGGGCCATAACTGAAGGGTGTGTATAAAGGCAATTTAATGCCTACTGCTTCAAAACCCACCTTAACAAAAGATTAAGTAACCATGGGAGAAAAAAAGTGGGCTTATTTGTGTTGTTGGGTCATAATCATTTTAAATAAAAAATACTTAGATTGCAAATACATCTATAGAAGCATAGAAGTTTTACGATATTTTCGCTACGAATCTGTTTTATGCTAGATGAAGGCTTTTTCTGTTGTTGGCTACAACTACTATTACATCCGACTGATTTATTGGAGGCTAGTATTGAACCATCAATAGCTTATAACAAATAAAGTGTAGTTAAATTTTATCAAACTATAAGTTCATCTTAATAGAAAGCGTTCCTTACGGGCTTGGCCAGTTAAAAGTAGTGTTGCGTCAGCAAGATCACGTGACTATTCTCACGCCCTCTGCTTTCTAGAACTATCCTGTACCTTGGCGAATGCTCTAGCATTTACTAGATATAGGGAAGTCTGGTATATAAAAGAGGGTGACAACGTGACGATATATATGAATGTGTGTGTAGGTAGTGAGCAATTGATCTGCAGAGAGAAAGTATCGTTGAAGTTAACGTTCGTTATAGCGTTTGTTTTAGCGTGATTGTTTGTAAAAGAGCGACTGTTGAAAATAAGTGTATCGGTAAAGTTATATTCAGGAAGAATAAACCAGTTTTACTAAGTAAGGA